AGTTTCTGTCTGATTTCTCAGACTTTATATCTAATTTAGTTCTGAGCTCAGATAAAATAATTATTGTGGGTGATTTTAACATCCGTGTAGATGCTAGAAATGACAGCCTCAACATGGCATTTAGTCTGTTATTAGACTCAATTGGTTTCTCTCAAAATGTAAAAGAACCCACCCACCACTTTAATCACACTCTAGATCTTGTTTTAACATATGGCATAGAAACTGAACATTTAACTGTGTTTTCTGAAAACCCTCTCCTGTCTGATCATTTCCTGATAACATTCACATTTACAATAATTGATTACACAGCGGTGGAGAGCAGACTTTATCAAAGTAGATGTCTTTCTGAAAGCGCTGTAACTCAGTTTAAGAATATAGCTTGTGATAACTTCACAAATGTTACATTTGAGGTTTTTTTTGTTTTTAGAAGTTAGTTATTTATCAAAATATTTATTTTTGAAGTAATTGAAACAACACAATTTTCTTTGTTTATTTAGTTGAGCCTTAATTTGCAAAAATCATTGGGATTTTCCAACAGTGGCCAATCTACAAAATTTTACATGGGATGCAAAGGAGGGGCAAGTTGTCTAGGCAGGGTGGCACATACATCTTCAGTGAAGTGAAATCCCCCTGTTTAAATGGAGTCAACAATACAGCCACAAAAACTCTTTAAAACTATTTATTGCATCATTGTCTCTTCTAAGAAATCAAAGACAAGGTGATTTTTTTTACAAGTTTTAAAGTAGAAAAACTTAGTGTAATAAAATCATTTGAATGTAATTATGTATGCCTTTATTTGAAGGGACAATAAGAAAGACAGTTTCATTTAGGCAGTCTTGGCTTGTGAAGAATGAATTTACACATGCTGATATATATTTGCGTTTGCACAAGTAGGACAATAAGAATAGGGAATACCCTCAAAACAGTTATGTCACATTATTGATTTCAGAGGAAGACAGAAGATAAAGGGAATAACCCCATATCCCTTCTTCACCTAACTTTCACCCCCTTCTATTTCTGGACGTCACATCTTTTGAGACATATGAATTTTCATTCATATGAGTACGAGTACACTTAATTTCATGTCTTATTCAGGGTTAGCTATTTTCTCTTCAGTTAGGTTTACGATTAGCCAATTTTTACACAAACATCCCTTCTTACATGATATGATTTACAGATAAAAATCATGTTTATTCACATTCTACAGAAGAAAATATCAGCTATTTGTTTAATTCTAAAAGCAAAGTAAAACATGGTAATCAACAATGCTAAAGGAAAACTGAGTATAGCAAAGAAAAAGTATGGTGTATAAATGCAGCACACTTCTATGATTTTGTAGCTTTTGTCAAAAATAATATTCCACCAAAGAAACTTCCAACTAACGTGTCAGTTTGTGGATATAAACACAGCAATCGTTTAATTTATTGTCTGCAATGTCAGCTTTACAGAACCATTAATCCTCATTTTTTAAGTTCATTTACTTTCAAAGTGTAATAGTTCTCTTGTAATTTTAAAATTTTCAGTTGCATTTTTATTTTTTCCCGCTTCAGTTGATCAAGATCCATCGTATTCAAACCAGAGCTGGCTGAGGGCCCAGGCGACGGGGCCTCCGTTATGTCCGCACTGCAAGTAAAAACACTCTTGTTTATGGAATTTTTTTTAAATATATTTTTTATATATTTTGTCTAGAAAGAAAATATACTCTTAACAAGCAATTTTTGCACAAGAAAATTAAGCTCATTCAAGAAAAATGTCTGAATGTTCTCAGTCATCCATGTCATTGTAGTCTAAGGAGCTTGGAAAGAAAAGTGTCTGGACTTCTTTAAATAGCTTGAAGACGTTTCACCTCTCATCCGAGAAGTTTCTTCAGTTCAGAACTGAATATTCTGGTTCTGATTCTTGAAATAAGAAAGATAATCTTATTCTAGAAGAATAAGATTATCTTTCTTATTTCAAGAGTAAGGCCACTTGAATGACTTTTCAATTTAAGAAATGCATAAAGGCAGCCAGCCCAGGTGTCACTGTTGGAGAAAGAGAAGACCCAGTTGCACACAGATAACAATTGATCACTTATCTGGCAAGTAATACTTAAATACGCAAACGGTCCAAGAATACTACCAGGCTTAGTGCAATACTTCAGCACTGACTGTCATTCAGCCACACCAATAAATAGTCCTGCCTAAGAGAGCGGCAGCATTTCCAGGTAAACAATCGCCACAAAGCCGTAGAGAAAAAGGAAAGAGAGAAAAAGAAGAACAAACAAACACAGGCAGGTCGACCAGGCTGGAGTCTGACCCATGGTCTTTTGTTGCATGTCTTCCCCTCTCTCTCCCTCTACTTTCCTGTCAGTTCTTCACTGTCTCTATCAATAAAGGCCAAAAAATAAAATATAAAAAATTTAAATCTAGACCTACCTATAGAAAGCTTTTTTATTTATGTGAAAATCTAAATTAAACACTAAAATAACAAAATAATTCTTCAAAATAGCTTGTTCAAGAAAGCATAATACTCATCATAGGTAAAAAAATTTTAATAATCAGTGTCTTTCCTTGTAATAATTCAAATTTTCTTAAATTAATCACACATTTTAGCCTAATTTAGGCATAAAACAGATTCATTTGCTAGTTTTAAGGATTCTAGCAAAACAACTTACCCAATTGGCAGATTTTTTCTCTCAAAACTAGACAGTTTTGTCAGATTTAAGAATATTTGGCTAATTTCAAGTAGAGTTGGTTTTGCAGTGCGAGAAATAAATGCCGTCGAAAAACAACCCTTTAAGATTGTGTGAATAAATTCAAAATATTTGCCTAAATGATATGAGAGCTTTATCTTACCCCCCTTCTGGCCACATGGATTGTAAATCAGCTACTTTGTGGCCAGAGCAGTGAACAGCTTTATGCTCTTGCTGATCTGACACGGCCAGAGGTTCACAGGAAGGACCTGTACATTTAGAAAACATGTTGGGAAAAGAAGACCAGAAGAGATCAAAAGAAATAATAAAAAATAAAACAAATACATGAAACTGGATTTATTTTTCTAGAAAAAAAAAAAAGCAGACAAAAATCATGCTAGTGATTCTGGTTTTTGAACAACTCACTCAGTTTGTCTTCAGGTTCTTTCTTAACATTTTGCTGTTTGATTGCTGTGTTCTTTACCACATCTCTGTTATTTCCACTGACTTTAGATCTTGGAATCTCAGGATGATGTCCAGTCTTCTGTTTCAAAGACAGCCAATTATATATGAGTATCCTTATTTATAATTTCATTTGAAAATAATAAAACTATTTTGAGCAACATTTAGTTTAATCCAAGTTTTATTTATATAACACAGAAACTATAAAGAGTCAGCTCATGGTGCTTTATATTATAAAGACCCTACAATAATACAGAGAAAATACCAACAATTAGATGACCCCCTATGAGCACGTGCTTTAGTGACAGTGGTGTTTTAATTTGTCTTTATTTATTATTTAGTTTTTAATAAAATAAAACAGTCTTACCTCAGGAAGGCTATTAACGACACCCTTTACTTCGATCTTCAGTGCAGGTTTCACAGGTGTCAAAATTGTGCTTGTTGTTGTCTTCTCTGAAAAAAGAAGGATGATTAAAATATGAGCATACACACTTTGGAATTATTAGAATTAGTTTGATGTTGATGTTCAGTCTGAACTTCAGCAGATCATCTTGACCATGTCTCCATGTCTTTATTGAGTTGCTGTCATGTGATTGGCTGATTAGATTTTTGCATTAATGAGCAGTTGGACAGGTATACGCAATAAAATGGCCGTTTAGTGTCTTTTGGAAAGTACAACTATTCATTACAGAACACACCCGACCTGTTTTGATCACAAAGACATGCGGAAATAATATTTATTCAAGCTGCAAACAAAACTACTAGTTAGCTGTGTGCACATATGTGCTAACATATCTGTAAATGCTTACATAAAATAAAAAGGCTCCTAATTTTAGCACAAGCCTGTAGAAGGATTTCACTCATTGTTTGGAGAACTTCAATTATCATTTCAGAACTGAGCCAAATTAACTGTACACCCACACTCATCTCACATAATCAGAGGTTAAAGAAGGACGAACCTGTGAACTTAGAAAATAGATTGAAAGTGTTTTTCTTCTACTTCAACAACAAAAAAAGCAAAAAACTACATAGAAGTTGAATACAACCTTAAAGTGCTTTTAGTATTTGAACAACTCACTCAGTTTCTCTTTGGGTTCTTGCTTAACATTCAGCTGTTTGATTGCTGTGTTTGTTGCCACATCTCTGTTATTTCCACTGACTTCAGACCTTGGCATGTCAGGACGATGTCTAGTCTTCTGTTTTAAAGACAACAAAGAATATATTTGTATTTATTTTAAATAGTCGGACTGGATGTTGTAAAAGCATACATTTGTAATTTGTCATGCTGAACCATAATATTTGCCAAATTTCTATCTTGATGACGGTGCTGTTGTAAAGCAGAGTACTCTAAGATGATTAACATACTCAAAAGTTCCAGCAATGCAAAGTACAGTGAAACATTTAAATAAAATAATTTGTCTTGCCTCAGGAGGGATGTTAATGATACCCTTTACCTCTTTCATCTGTAATGCATGTTTTCCAGGTGTTGGAATTGCACTTGTTACTCTGTCTGCAAAAAGAGGAAGAGTTATTTTCATACACAAACAAGGTCTTTGTTATCCAAACATACCAATAGGAAATATATTGGAAATGTCACCTTTGGTACTACTGCTGTCAGTATGGTTAGAGGGAACAGCAGGCACAGTCTCTTCCTCATCATTATCATCTTCTTCATCCTCATCTTCCTCAGTGCTACGCTGATCGTCACCAACATCATCTTCATCCATATCCTCATCTTCATCTTCATCAAGATCTTCCTCGCTTTCTTCTTCTTCAGAAGAGATATAAATCGGTGTAGCATCTTCATCTTCGTTTTTCTTAGTGTCAGGCTCATTATCTTCATCCATATCATCATCATCCTCTTCTCCATCATCATCTTCATCTTCATCATGATCCTTGGGTTCTTTCAAGAGATGTTTAAATGTTTAAAATATTACAACGTACATGGAGATTTTCTTGACTTTTTCTATGCAAATACTCTTTTTTTCTGAAATCCTGTGGTGTATTTGACAAAACTACTGACGTCTTCAAACAGCTGATTAAAAATAATATAATAATGTTTGCATGCTTTTGATTCATATTCTCAAACATTCTCTGGTTTTGAGGCACAGATAGAAGAAAGAGCAGACAAACCTGTTAAGAGGTCCTGGGACTCAAGGTCTGATGATTGTCGTTTTCTTTTTTTTTGTCTATATCCTGTAGTGGTTAGGTCACCTTTCTGTGATAAGTTAATTCAACACTTTATTTAGTGAAATCTGATTTTTGTAGATTCATAAAAATGCAACAAAGTACCTTGATCCAATAGCGTAGAGTTTTTCCTTTGTGGTAAATAGATGACTTCCATTTTCTGCTTGACTCTTTTCCTGCAAGCTTCTCAAACTTAGATGGAGTGTAAAAGAAGCCTTTACGGTAAATACATGCCTCACCTATATTTATAAAGAAAAAAGTAATCGTTTTTATGAAAAAGTTATTCATTGATTGATGTATTTATATATGTACAAAAGAGAAAAGGAAAGACTGGTAGGACTGGTAAGAAAACAATACTGTATGCACTTACCTTTTCTCATCTTCTCTTTATTCAGGATGCCCTTTTTGGTTCCACATTTTACACACCAGAGGTCTGTTTTTTTGAATCACCAAAAAAAGAAGAAGTACTTTCTCCATAAAAATAAATATTAAATGTATTTTCATGGTCAATTTACAATGTACTAATAATTTGCAATTGTAGAGGTTGTATAAAGAGAGATGCCAGTTGTGGGAGTATTTCCTACTTTCATTGTAATAGTTGTGATAATGCAAATATTTATAATTCAATTCAGTTTTATTTATATAGCACCAAATCACAACAACAGTCACTTCAATGCATTCTATTGGAAGGTACAGACCCTGCAATAATACA